GTTTTGATACCCTCCGGGTGCCACAAGATCCCCGGTTTCCCGTACATGGGTTGTTCCCAAGAAATATTGTCAGAGGGTGTGGCTGGAGCTTTTGGACACTGTAGATCTTGGCTTTGTTGAAGGCCATCATGAGGAGTTGAGGCTCACAGGCTGCAGAGATGGAGCAGGCAAACAGGTCAAAGGACAAGAGTGGTCACCAGGCAGATGTGCAATGCCAGGAACAGGAACAGCTGCCTGTGGGAAAGCAGGGACCCCTGTTGTCCATTAGAAAAATTGAGGTGGGGGGCTGGAGCAATGGCACAGTGGGTAGGGTGTTTGCCTTGCACATAGCTGACCCAGGTACGATTCCCAGCATCCCATATGGTCCCCCCCGCCAACACCACCAAGAGTAATTCCTGAGTGCAGAGCCAGGAGTAACCCCTGTGCATCGCTGGGTGTGGCCCAAAAAGCAAAAAAAAATCGAGGTGGGGCTGAGCAATAGCATAGCAGGTATGGTGTTTGCCTTGCATGTGGCCAACCCAGATTCTATCCCTGGCACCCCGTATGGTCCCCTGAGCACCACCAAGAGTAATTCCTGAGTGCAGAGCCAGGAGTAACATCTGAGCATTGCAGAGTGTGACCCCCAAACAAAAAACAAATGTCAAGGCTAAATCTCAATTTTCCCCCAGCAAAGTGGAATGAGGTGGGCAGGTGCCTCCTGGTTCAGGTTTGGAATCCTGGGATCTCTCAGCTGGAAGAGGGAGAGATTTCAGGCATGAACCCTAAAGAAGGGTCTCTAGGGGAGCATGAATGAGGGTCACTCTCCTGGGGTAGGGAATGGACCTCCTCTCCTGACTCTGGTGTCATGTATGAGCCTGAGGCCAAGTGGACTAAGGTCAAGTCCAGTAAGAATTTGATGTCCCTAGGGCATAGTGCAGTGGGTAGGGCACTTGCCTTACACTATCAGACTTCCAATTCCTGCCTGTCTATATGGTCCTTTTTTTTTTTTTAAATTATGTAGGAGTACTGCTATTTATTCAGCCACTGATTAGCTGATTGAATTGTGCATGAACTCCACCTTACATTTTTTTCATTTTTTATAATTTTATTTATTGAATCACCGAGAGCAGTTACAAAGCTTTCGGGTCTAAGTCTCAGTCATAACAATGAAACACCCATACTTTCACCAGTGCCCATTCTCCACCACCAAAAACCCCAGTATGCCCTCATCCCACACCCTCCCCCTAACCTGTGGGGCAGATGATTTCCACATTACTCTCTCTCTGCTTTGATCACATTCAATATTTTGACACCAGACCCAGCATTATGATTTGGGATTTTACCCCAACACTCAGATCTGCTGAAAAGGCAACAGTAGACAATTTGTTTTCTATTGCTGGTTATGAATAACATATGATGTCACGTGGCTGCAGTAGTGGCCGCGCGATTTTGAAATTCCGAAACTTTAACACTTAAATCTGGAGGGATTTCTGCCAAAAGCCACTTGGTTTCGAGATCTGCTTCTGAGTCTCTGGGATCATGGCCGTTGAGCAGCTTGATCAGGAGCCAGAGAGGCCGTTCATGAACGATGACTTGGGGTTTCTCGTTGGGACGGGGAGACCAGGACCGGCTCCACCCCCATCCCGTGAGGCCCAACAAGTTTCATCGCTGCGGGCCCAGACCTGACTGTCCAATGGCCTCTGGAGGATGACGGCCACCGAGCCGCCAAGGGGGAGCAGGCGGAGTGACAACACCCTTTCCCCCCAGGGGTGGCCCACCGACAGTAACCTACTGCGGGGTCCGGACACATTTCTGCCAAAAGCTGCTGGGTTTCAAGAATTGTTTCTGAGTTTCTGGGATCATGGCTGTTAAGCAGCTTGATCAGGAGCCAGAGAGGCCGTTCATGGGTGATGACTTGGGGTCTCCTTGGGGTGGGGAGGACAGGCCCGGCTCCACCCCCATCCCGTGAGGCCCTGCGCATCTCGTCACTGCAGGCCCAACCCTGACTGTCCAGTGGCCTCTGAAGGATGGCAACCACTGGGTCGCCTGAGTGAATAGGTCAAGGCACAAAACCTATTCCCTCCTGGGTTGGCCTAGCACCAGTAACCTACTGCAGGGACCGGACGCATTTCTGCCAAAAGCTGCTGGGTTTCGAGATTTGTTTCTGAGTCTCTGGGATCATGGTCATTAAGCAGTTCAATCAGGAACCAGAGAGGCCATACCTCCAATTATATAGCTGAGCTGGAGGTGGTTTGTGGGTGTGTTTCCCACATACCTAACTTTTGGCCGTTTACTTTCTTGGTAAACTTTGCCCCAAGTTTTTGGGGTCTCGCCAAAGGCACAGCAGCAATTTTGGGTTATCTGGAAGTCTGAAGGCGCCATCAGGCTGCTGATGCACTCGCCTCATAGGTACAGATTGACCTGCTGGCGGCACCATACCCCCTTCTATATGGTTCTTGAGATCTGCCAGATGTGATCCCAGAGTGCAGATCCAGGAGTAGGCCATGGGACCAGTGGGTGTGGCCCAAAGCCAAAAATGGACACTGGGGTCAGAGCAATAATAGCAGTGTAGGGCATTCACCTTGCATGCCATCTGGGTTCGATCCCTGCCATCCTATATAGTTCCCCAAGCCTGCCAGGAATAATCCCTAAGCAGAGCCAAAGTAAGCCTAGAGCACTGCTTGGTATCTGTCCCCCACCACCTGTCCCTGCCCCCCTATTATATAAGCGATTTCAAATCACACCACAGCCCCAAGGGAGGTTGTTAGTTAAACTTACCTGGTATGCTTGGATTAGGATAAGATGCAAAAGACTCTGTCCCCTATTTCTCACAGAAGGAGAAGGAAGAATCCAGGGGTGCCTTAGCCTGGGGGTATCCAGAGACTACAGAAACTGGAATGGAGGGTGTGTAGTGCCAGGGGCTTGCCCCATTCGGAGCCTGGGAAAGCCTACCCCACTCAGGGACTCACATCCTGACCACTTCAAAGGGCCCCCAACTTCACAAAGACCAAGAAATTCAGGCAGGCATTTTATAGAACCTTTATTTCATCATTCTTTAAGTGGCTGGGTACAAGTACAATGGAATGGCCCACCCCTGAACCCTCAAACTCAGACACTCAGAGATCCTGTATCACCAGATCGATTACACCCTTCTACTCAGCTCCTTCCAGAAGTCGGATAAAAACATTTTCAAAAATCACAATCTGGTTGGCTTGAGGTTTGAATCCCAACTTAACAGCATTTGAGAGTTACATTATATACTGTAAATAAAATATCACTATGGCTACTGATTAAAATCATCATCATAAATACCAACCAGGTTAAATAATACTATTTTAGTATCCTTCCCGTCTGGGCTGGAGGATTACATTTTGGACTTCTTTTTCTCATGAATAAAATTCTTAGTGTTTTTTTCCCCTGTTTTCACTAATTCTATCTAGTCCCTCTTCTATGAACAGACCTGACCCCCCTCTTTTCTCACTTATCCTGGGGTCAAAATAAAAACTTCACCCAGTCTTTTCCTACCTGAACTGGGCAAAATTTCAGCCTCCTCTCCCTGCCTAGACTCTCTAGGGCTAGATCCTGTGAACAAATTTCCAACAGTTCAAGAAGTCACCAGGATTCTAAGAAGTTACCGGGATTTCCCATGCCTGGCACAATTTCATTTCCTTTCCTGAACTTGGCTGAGATTAACATAGGAGCCTGCCTTGCACTTCCCGCATTTCTATTTCTCCCCACTCCACAGGCTGGAGCCATAGCACAGTGGGTAGGGCGTTTGCCCTGCACATGGCCGACTGGGTTCAATTCCTTTGTCCCTCTCAGAGAGCCTGGTAAGCTCCCCGTGGCATATTTGATATGACAAAAACAGTAACAAATCTCACAATGGAGACGTTACTGGTGCCTGCTTGAGCAAATCAATGAATAACGGGAGGACGGTGCAGGGCAGTGAACAGTGCCCCACTCCACAGTAAGATTCTGTCCCAACAGTAAGAGAGTAACTGTTAAAATTATCTTTCCCTTTAATGTAAGGGTCTTCCCTTTCTTTATAGGATTAGCAAAATATTCCATACTACCAACTTAGATTTCCCCCATTAAATAAAAAGAAACATGTAAAATTACAACAGGAAGTGCTCAACAAATGCCAGTGGGCTGGCACACTCCCCTTTCCTTCCACGAAAGGACAGGGACCCAGAAAGTGGTTACTATTAAATGGACTGAAGAGGTCTTTATTTTTTTGCTTTTTGGGTCACACCCGGCAATGCACAGGGGTCACTCCTGGCTCTGCTCTCAGGAATTACCCCTGGCAGTGTTCAGGGGACCACATGGGATGCTGGGAATCGAACCCGGGTTGGCCGCGTGCAAGGCAAACGTCCTACCCGCTGTGCTATCGCTCCAGCCCCTGAAGGGGTCTTTAGAAAGGAACAATGCCAATGATTAAATCTTGCACGGAAATGACTTTCTCTGGACAAAGACTCTAAGTAGCAACATTCAAATCACACTCAGAGTGTCTCTTCAATCCCACACAGCTATGAGGCTTGCGGGCAGGATAAGAGAAATTATCAGAATAATTCTTGAAAAGTGTCCAAGATTAATTTCTTTTAAAATATGACAACAGAAATCCACATTAAAAAAAAATAACTTCAGGGAAGCGTAAACCAGAAAGCAGTTCTAAGGAAGTTCAAATTATATTCTTCAATGAACTAAGATGGAGAAAAAAATTTTTTATTTGCTTTTTTGTTCTTTGGGTCGTGCCCCACTGTGCTCGGAGTATCCTCCTGGCTCTGAGCTCAGGGATCATGCCTGGCGGTGCTCAGGGGAACATATAGGAATGCCAGAAAACAAACCCAGGTTGGGATGTGCAAGGCAAATGCCCTACCCACTGTACTACTGCTCTGGGCCCTGGAGAAAGAAATTTTATCCAAATCAAGTGAAAAATTATCTTCCTACTAGTCAAACTATGTCTACAGTGAGATTTTTAAGTCCTGCTCTTTGATTTGCTCCCCAAAATACTGTAGTACATGTTTTTATCTTGTAATTCAGTGATGGGCTCTTCACAGATTTACCAGATTAAAAAATAAGCAAGGGCTCCTCCCCTACCCCCAACGACAGAATACAGATCATCTCTGAGCAGCAGGCAAAGTTATTTAATACAAGGTCACTCCTCAGTAGCGGTGGCTGTACCAGTCATTGTTGTTGACTTGAAGAAGTTCGGTCACAGCGTGGAGGAGGTTGTAATTGTGCTTCTTCAGCAGCCTGAGGTTCAGCTGCCGGTCACAGAATCCCATTTCAAAGAGATGGGCCATCAAGGCTGCCCTCTGTTCCTCAGAAACTACTGGCTGTGAAAAAATGAAGAAAAGCAGAACCCTGTCCATCAATTTACAGTTTTTTTTGGGGGGGTGGGGGCTGGGCAGGTAGGTGTGGCTTGGGTCACACCCAGAAATGCTCAGGGTTACTCTTGACTCTGGACTTGGGAATAACTACTCCTGGTGGTGTTCAGGGGACCATATAGATTTGATTTTGTTCTGTTTTGGGGCCACACCCAGTGGTGGTCAGGGATTGTTCCTGGCAGCTGGGGGAGGAGGGGGAGATCCATATGGGGTGTGAGAAACAAAATCCAGGTTGGCCACTTGCAAGGCAAGCATCTATCCACTGTACTATCTCTCCAGTCCCATGGGGGACCATATGGGATGCTAGGGAATGAACCCAGGCTGGCCGCGTACCCTAGCCACTGAAGTTTACTTGTTATTTCATAAACTTGTATAACCTTGTAAGTCAGACATATACTTCCATATTTATTCACTAAAAGAAAATCAGAGGGGCTGGAGAGATAGGAGAACAGGGAGATTTCCTTGCACCTGACCAACACGAATTTGATCTCATGCACCCCAGAGTGTCCCCAATCCTGGTCAGGATTGATCCCACAGTGCAGAGCCAGGAGTAAGCCCTGAACACAGCTAGGTGTGGGTCCCGAACAAAATCAAATAAATAAAAGAAAATTAGACACATGCGTGGAGTGGCAATCCTGCCCATATGATACTAATGGGTCTTCTAATAGGATTAGAGAAACCAGAGGGCGTTTGTGCTGAAAGAGGAGCAAAGAGAAAATAAGCAACTCATCAACTATCCTTAAAACTTGGAAGCAACGATGCGTCAGGTTCAGGGAACTTAAGGAAGCAAATTTTTTTTTTTTTTTTTTGCTTTTTGGGTCACACCATGCAGATGCTCAGGGGTTACTCGTGGCTCTGCACTCAGGAATCACTCCTGGCAGTGCTTAGGGGACCATATGAAATGCTGGGAATTGAACCCCGGCTGGCCGCGTGCAAGGCAAACGCCCTACCCACTGTGCTATTGCTCCAGCCCCCTAAGAAGGAAGCAATTTTTGAGGCTGGATCCATAGCACAGGGGTTAAGGTGCTTGCCTTGCATACAGCTCTCACCTGGTTAGATCCTTGGCATCCCATATGGTCCTTCAAGCCCTTTAAGAATAATCCTTGAATGCAAACCCAGGAGTGGCCCAAAAAAGGAAAAAAAAAGAAAAAAAAGCAGCAATCTTTTTACGAAGATGTAGAAAGAGATGCAAACAAGTTCTAAAAATTCAGTGCAGGTAATTATGATAAGGCAAATAGAAGCAGAGAAAAGAATGTCACTGGAAGACAGTATAGTCAATTTTGTCAGAAACAAACAAAAATATATGCAAAGGAGCTGGAACAAAAACTTGGAAAATCACATCATCCCGAGAAGTTTTGGCTTAAAAAAAAAAGTTAGGGGCAGAGTGATAGCAGAGTGGGTAGAGGGCTTGCCTTGCAAGCCGCCCCTTCCCTGGTATCGCAAGGTCCAGACCCCCTGAAGAGCAAACCCTGAGCACAGCTGGGTGTGGGTGAAACAACACAAAAAGGTTATTTTGGGCCTCTGCAGAGTGCTCAGGGGTCTAGGGGCCATCCTGGTGATACCTGATCCACTGTGTGAGCCTATGGGTTTAATGTTTAGGCCTTGTAATGAGGGGGACCCCATGGCCCAACACAGGGCTGGGGAGGGCACGTGCTCTACCCCTTTGAGTGATTTCTCACTCCTATTACTATTTTACAGGCTATTCAGATTTAGAGGAGCTAAAATTTATTTCCTTTTCTCTCTATTTTGACAGGGCCAGGGATCTAGCACAGGGCCTGATGCAATGCAAACTACCACAGGTGCACGTCCCTGGCCCCGTATTTACTTCTTTTTGGGTCAAAGCCTGTGGCAGGCGTGTAACCTTCTGAAATCCTAACGCTTAGAAAACCCTGGTTCTGTTTACTTACCAACTCTGTCGACCATCAATTCCTTACTTATGCAACAGTTACAGAATACTTCCCATTTGCAATAGTTGAGAAGATTAAGATGGGAAAATATATACCAAGCAATCCTCCGACACTCACTCCCTTCCTCTTCAGAACATACGGCCCATCCGCCTTTCCAGGCTGATCTCACATGTACTTTATACCTCAGTACTATCACCACTCAGATACCATTCTCTTAACCAGCCTCTCATCTTCACTGCTGACTCCCTTCCTGACTGGTCTGCCCATCATGCCTTACTCTCTGCCCCACATAGCACAACCCTGGCCCCCTTTCCCTTTCTATCCCAGCTCTTTGGAAACGGGGAATACTTATACTCCTAAATTCCTCATCACTCATACTTCACTGCAGCATCTGACACCTTCAGCCTTGTTCGTCTCATGACAATTTTCTTCCCTAAGCTGGAGAACCGAATTCTCCTCCACTGTCTTCAGGGTGAGCTTTCCTTCTTTCTGTGATTCCTGAAGATGGTATCTTTATACTTTTTCCTGAATAATCTCATCCAATTAATTGACTTCAATGGTTTACCATTTTTTGGTGGAGGTGGCCCCCACCCATGTTTAGGAATTACTCTGAGTTCAGGAATCACTCTTGGCGGGACTCTGGGGACCATATACAGGACCAGGGATATAGCCTGGGTCGGCCATGTGCAAGCATCTTAGCCACTGTGCTATCTCTGTGCCCCCACCCCATTTTCTTTTATTCAAATACATCCTTCCTGCATGCCTTCTCTTCATAATGGCTCTACGACTTGTTTAAGAAATGTGCTCATCCTTTACTTCTACCCACTTAATACTGGGCTCTTTCATACCGGTCCTTAATTTTGGTCATTTCTATTTCTTTTACCTTTCTTTTCCTAATGAGTCCACAATACCCCTTCATAATATCCACCTCTCCTCTTTCTTTGGGAGTGACACCAGTGGTGCTCAGGGTTTACCGCTAGCGGGAATGGGAAACCAAATGCAGTGCTGGGGATTTAATCTTGGTCAGCTGCGTGAAAGGCTAATGCCTCACCTGCTATACTGTATCTACTCCTTGCCCCTTTCTTTCTTGCTGGGGGACTTAAGTCTGGGTTTCTGGCATACAAAATACACGCTCCAGTCCATTGAGCAATCTCCCTTGCCTTTCTATCCCTCTTTTTTGGCTATGCTCAGGGCTTATTTCTGATTTAGGGATCACTCCTGGCAGGATCAGGAGCCACCTGGGGTACTGGGGCTTCAATCCAGGTTGGCAGCATACAAGGTAAGATGCCCTACCCACTGGTACTTGCTCCAGTTCAGTATCTTTGTTCTTTTTGTTTTGTTTTTTTTTTGCTTTTTGGGTCACACGTGGCAATGCACAGGGGTCACTCCTGGCTCTGCACTCAGGAATTACTCCTGGCGGTGCTCAGGGGACTATATGAGATGCTGGGAATCAAACCCTGGTTGGCCGCGTGCAAGGCAAATGCCCTACCCTCTGTGCTATCGTTCCAGCCCCAGTGTCTTTGTTCTTTTTTCTTTTCTTTTCCTTTTTGGGTCACACCCAGGAATGCTCAGGGCTTACTCTTGGCTCTGCAATCAGGAATTACTCCAGGCGTTGCTCAAGGGATCATATGGGATGCCAGGTATTGAACATGGGTCAGTTATGTGCAAGGCAAATGCCCTACTTGCTGTGGTATCGCTCTGGCCCCCATAATGTCTTTGTTCTTAAGGATGCAGTTCAAGCTTGTAGAACAAAGCAATGCCAGGGATAAACCAGGGTTCACTCACACAAAGGATGCACTTGTTGGTCTGCAGAGCCAGTCCTGATTTAGTTCCTCATGCATTGTAGTTCCTCTATAAACATGAGGTCTTTTTCCTTTTGTCCCCTATGTACCTTAGCCAAAATCATACATCTACAAAATGAAGGAGCTGTGTGTTTACCCAAGACTAAATATAATGCTCATACTCTTTCTACAGTGCCATGCTACTTTGTTTTTGGTTTTGGGGCTGCACCTGGCTATTTTCAGGGGGTTACTTCTGGCAGTGCTCAGGGGACCATATAGGATGCTGGGGACTGAAAGACTGGCAGTATGCAAGGGCAAACAAAGTAGCACTGTACTACTGCTCTGGCCCCTACAATGCTTTTTTTCAAACCATAGATGCCACCACTTTCACTGTTTACTTGGATTTGGTTGAAGGGAAAAAAAATATTACATACTGACCTGCGCAGTGATTGGTGGCCCAGCAAACAGGGCCTTGTATGCAGAGGTAGCCACAGACAATGCCCCCTTCATCAATCCTCCAGCAATGCTGCTTCCATGATGATGCCTGTGGAGGAAACCAAATGATCTCCCTAAACAAACATAAAACAGATAGTCCTTCCCTTTCTTCAAAAAGTTGGGGAAAAAATCTTTAGAGAAAAATAAATCTGACAGAGACTATAACTGTATTCCTGTTAAGTTTCAGTTTAACCTAGGACACAGATCTACTGCTGCACTGTTATGAGCATGGGGCTGGAGGTACAGGGGTTAGGGCATTCGCCTAGCATGCTCTCGACCCTGGTTTGATCCCTGGCACCATGTACTGTCCCCCGAGTATCAACTCAGGGTTCACTCCTGAGCAGAGCCAGGAATAGACTTTGAGCATCTCCTGGTATGATCCAACCATCCACTGCCCCCAAATAAAAGGCATGAGCACTATGGAAAACACAGCACCATATGCCAGCTTTTAATCCTAGCTCAAAGTTAATCCGGTCAAGAATAGTCAGCGGGAACTAGCAATTCTTCTGCTCCACCATCTGAGGGGAACCCCTCTCAAAGGCAGTGTGACTTTCTGTATCCTCTAAGGAGCAGCCCCCCAGAACTCTGTCCTGAGGTGGCCGGTACGTCCCAGAAACATACAGGGCTTGACCTTTCTGCTTTCTCAGCATTAATGCCGAGTTGCCTATGAGGGCTTTTCTCTCTGGAACGTGAGTGCTCTTGAACTTTATTAACCCTCTGCTAAACCTCTGCTGTCGCACTGAGTCCTTCAGCAAGGCTCACAAGCATTAGGAAAAATAGAAACAAGAAGGAATGATGGTTCTCTTCTGCTCTCTGTAGGTGAGACATGCTCTGAGGGGCTCTGTCAAGCAGAAGCAATACTAGGATATCCACCTGCTTCTGAAGAAGAGGCTGCACAAGGTCCAGTTACCTTGAGTGGTCATAGCTCTTCTGTCTGCTGTTTATAAGTCCTGATGAGCCTCTGGGCTCTAAAAGCAAAAGAGCCGATGGTTAGACGCAGTGTTCTTTCTAACTCCTGGCATGGCTACTTTTAAGGCAGCTGGCTATCTGAACACAGTGTCCCAGTGTTTGAGGTCTTTTTTTTTTTTTATGTATTTTAAAGTATTTGGGAAATTTTGCATGCAGTTAAAATTAGTCATAAGAAGAAACTGTCCAGAATACAATGCAAGATCTTTAATTTTTTTTTTAAAACCGAATCAGGAAAACAAATTCCTGAATCCTATCACGCTAACTTATTAAGTTATTTAGTATTTTTAGGTTTTCCTTTGGGGGTAAGGGGGGAAATGTCTTTGACAACTTTAAGGTGTGGCTCCCCTTATTTTTATAGTTAAGGAAACAGACTGTGGTGTTAATATACCTGCTGGCTTGGGTCAAGGTCACATTCTGAGGACAGAGCTGTGGCTGGAACCAAAACTGGTCTGGCAAGTGGTTCTTTCTCCTTCAACACAATGCCTACTTCTCATGAGAGCTCATGAAATGTTAAGCCAGAGATGAATGTATATGAAAGAGGAATACAGAAAGAGTGAAAGGCTGGTTTCGGAAACCAGCCAAGAATCACCAACGTGGTATGCCTATTTTACCTAATGTCCATCAGAAGGGGGCATAGGAAGAGACAAAGCTCAGGCTGGCCATTACCTCCTCTGAGCTGAACTGAAGAAACTTCCCGCACGGTAACTGGTAAATCCACTCCTGGGGAATCATGATGCTGGGCACAGGGAGGGCTCCTTGCAGAAAGACACAATATTGAGAGTTGAAAAGGCACCTTTGGTAACGGTGGAGAAACAAGAAACAGCACTGCAGTGCTAAATTCTCTACGGAAACTTCACATTTCTGATCCAGGTCACATGTCTGAATTGAGGCAATGGGTGAGAATGGCTCATTCTACTTCTGTTTTTCCTCCTTAGGCTCAGTCAAGCTGGAAAGACTGGCTTCAGGCTGTTGACTCCTTCCTACATCAAGTGGTGCTAACAAAGGGAAATGCCTAGCTCTCTTGATCTGGGAGAACAGTTTATGGCCAAAGTTCTATCATTTCCCACATAATGAGAGCAAAGACACAGACTTAAAATGGAGAATTGAAACAATCACCATATTGTTTATCGAAGAGATACATCCCAGCAATATTGTAAGGTCCAATTCAGACCACTGTGAGATAGTGAATGTTGCAATAAAGCAAGTCAGATGTTTTTGTTTCCTAGTATATGTTTCTTTTAAAAGTTATGTTCACACTATCATCTATCAAGTGTGCCAATAGCATTAGACCTTAAGAAAACATACCTTAAGATTCTTTAGGTAAAAAATATTAACAATCAGGGTTAAGAGAGAGAGTACAGTGGGGAGAGTGCTCATTTTGCATAGTCGAATCTGGGTTTGATCCCCATCACTCTTTGTGGTTCCCAGCCCCGGCAAAGAGTCATCCCTGAGTGCAGAGCCAGGAGCAAGCTCTGAGCACCGCCAGGTGGCCCCAAACAAAACAGAACATCAGACATCATCCAGATTGCTGGAGAATGGTGCTGACAGGCTTGCTATATGCATCTTACCATAAAACCATCAATGTGTGACGAGAGTAGAATTTACAAGCACCATAAAAGCAAAGTGCAATAAAATGAAATGTGTCTATATATTTTTTCATAATGGAAGACTTTCTTTTGTCTTTTTGGGGCACACCCAGAGGTGCTCAGGGCTTAACTCCTAGCTCTGCACTCAGGGATCACTCCTAGTGGGGCTCAGGGGACCTTATGGGTGCCAAAGATCAAAGCCTGCAAAGCAAATGCCCTGCCCGCTATGCTATTTCTCCAGTCCCTGAAGATTAAACTTTCTAAATACTGTTAGGGTTAATATGAAAACCAGTCTTTGCTGCTTCTTCACAAGTCAATACAGCAGGGAAGGCAGGCCCGGGCTATTTCTATTTGAAAACTAGCTCTCAATGATCAATGCATAGTAGATGGTTAATTAACATGAACTAAAATTAGTATTTCTCTAAATCCAGAATCCACAAATACTTGGAAGTATGATTTTTATTCATTCATCTAAATTCAGACTTGACTGTGGGAAATAATCTTTTCTCAAAGATGACAAAGGAAAAAAAAAGCCAATAGATCTTGAGATCAAGTTGATTCCTCTCACTCTTTATTCCAACTCTGAAGAGCAGCCGAGAAAAGAGGGGGATGGGTGGTACCTGGGCAGCGGTGGAGGAGGTCCTATCACCTCTGGGGTTAGGGGCACTGTGTCCAGAGTCTGTGAGGTCATGAGGATGTCGTTGATGCTGTGCTCCTGAGGATGATTCTCCCTTCCAGTGGATCCTTCTCCATCCTCAACTGGTTCCTGTCCAGCCTCAACCCCAAGCTCGCCTTCAGTCCCTCGCTCCAGGCCTGGCTGTGAGAGCGCAGAGCTGTACATGGAGTCCCCAAGGGGACGGCTGGTGTCAAAGCACTCTGGCAGGATGATGATGTAGTCCTCGGAAGAAGCAGAGGACTGACTCTGAACTTCATCACTGAGCTCATCTTCCTCCTCTGGGGCTTCTTCCTCAGCAATAGGAACAATCTCTTCTCTATCATCTCCAAGTGGTCCCTCTTCAGGCAAGGCAGATTTCACTAAAGGAAATGTGAAATTTGAAATGAATGAAAGCCACTGATTGTAAGGTTGAAGCTAAGAACAACTGTGGGGCTATCCTTACATGGTGAAGTCTTGTGGGTCATAAACTACAATTATGAAAGCCAGCTAGAAAAGGGATAAAGGGCTGCTCCTAGAACTATAGCAGTGCCATATTTTTAGTCCGAGGCCTACACAGACAGGATAGATTCACAGTTCACAAAAGACAAGGTAAACCGAAATAGCCAGGCCTCTGAGAAACATTTATGGATCTAAAAACAAGATCTGAACAAGGAAGATAGTACAGTGGGTAGGGTGTTTGCCTTGCATGCGGTCAACCTGGGTTCGATCCCCGGCATCCCATATGGTCCCCTGAACACTGCCAGGAGTAATTTCTGAGTGCAGAGCCAGAAGTAACCCCTGAGTATCGCTGGGTATGATGCCCCCAAAAGTCAAATAAATAAAAAACAAGGAAGAACTATCTCATTTTGCTTTGTTTTGTGGCATACCTGGCAGTGATCAGGGCTTACTCTTGGCTGGGTTTAGTAGACCATATGGAATGCTAGGAATGGAACTTGAGTTGGTGGGTGCAAAGCAAGTCTTTACTTGCTGTACTATCACTCTGGCCCCCTCTCCCATCTTTATGTGATACTACATTTGGATACTACAGTTCAAATCAAAATTGATATACAGGGGGCTAAGGACGTGGTGGCTCAGTGGCAGAGCATTTGCCCTGCATATGTGAGGCCTTAGGTTTGACTTCTGCAAACATACTACCGAACACTGGCATAAAAACAGGAGCCAGAGAGATTATAAAGCAGGTACTGTGCTTGCCTTGCATGCAGGAAACCTGGATCAAATCCCTGACACTGTGTACAGTGCCCTGAGCACTGCCAGGAGCAACCCCTGGTGGGTGACAAAGTAAGTATCCCCCTAAGGACTACGTATGGTGTGGCCCAAAAAGGCAAAAGAATTTTTTTAAAATTAAAAAAAAAATTAGACAAGCAAAAGTCAATCAAAGACAGAAAAATAAAAATATTGGTTTAGAGGGTTGTGGAAGTGGCTCAAAGGGCTACAGTGCAAGCATTGTATGTAGGACCTATGGCTTTGATTCCCAGCACTGCACAGTTCTCTGAGTATCACAGGAAATGACCACCCCCTAACCAAATGCACTGTAGCACTGTCCTCCCGTTGTTCATCGATTTGCTTCATGTGGGCACCAGTAATGTCTCACAACAAATTCTGAGACTCGTTACTGTTTTTGGCATATTGAATCTATCACGGGAAAACCTCAAAAATCAAAACCAAAAGTCCTAATATAGATAACCATGAGGATTGGAGCTATAGCATAGCGGGTAAGGCGTTTGCCTTGCACGTGGCCGACCTGGCCGACCCAGGTTCGATTCCTCTGCCCCTCTCAAAGAGCCCGGCAAGCTACCGAGCCGAGAGTACCTCGCCCACACGGCAAAGCCTGGCAAGCTACCCGTGACGTATTCGATATGCCAAACACAGTAGCAAGTCTCACAATGAAGACGTTACTGGTGCCCGCTCATTACTGGAGCAAATCGATGAACAACGGGAGTAGTGACAGTGACAGATAACCATGAACATTTCACCGTAAGTCCTTCCAGAACCTGTTTTTTGCAGTTGGATACTCCAAGTGTGAAAAATACATACACATCTATTTCAAACAAAAGTAAGACATCTCATCTAAGGATATGGGCCAAATTTCATTATAATTAAGATTTCCCCCATATTTGGTTGAATTAAATTTTGAACTTTTGACATACTTCTTGAAATGCATGGCACTGAGGCAGGGTAGGATAGGGGGGTTGGGGGGTGGGAGGGATACTGGGACCCGTGGTGGTGGAAAATGGGCACTGGTGGAGGGATATCCAAGGACAAAAATTTGTAAGTCTACAACTGTACCTCATGGTGTTTCACTAATAAAAATTAAAAAAAAAAATGGGGCTGGAGAGATAGCACAGCGGGTAGGGCGTTTGTCTTGCACACAGCCAACCCGGGTTCGATTTCCAGCATCCCATATGGTCCCCTGAGCACCGCCAGGAGTAACCCCTGTGCATCGCCGGGTGTGACCCAAAAAAGCAAAAGAAATGCATGGCACTGGTTCTGTGTATTTTATATCCTGAAATCTGCTATAACCAGTGTCCTTGGAGAAAGGAGGCAACTCAGCAGTGGAGAAGATGTCAACTTACGGTTGGATTCCTTACTGCAGACTTCAGGCGGTAAAGCAGGCTGCTGCTCCTCTGTGTTATGCAGCTGTGATTCTGCCCCTGAGAAAAGTGCAATCATGAGTCACGGAGGCTGCTCTGCTCCTGTCACTATAATTGAGACAGTCAAGCAGCACACACGGTGTTTAAAGAGAGAACCACGACAGAATTCTAACAAAGACTACTCCGCCTCCGCTCTGTCAAGCGTTGTGTGCTGCCCCAGAGCTGGGGACAATCAGGGACACTCACTGTGCAGGGACTTCAGTCTACAAGGTGGGTTATGATCCGGGGCAGCATCCAAAGTCAGGGATCGAATTACAGTTTCACATACAAACTGAGTCCCACTGAGGTCATCTTCCACCTCTTCCGCTGAGGCAATATTCTCAGCTTTCCTTTTTACTAATGCTGTGGCATCTGAAAGAGAAAGGCGCCTTGTCTCACTCGGTGTTTAAGGTAAATGACACTCTTACCACAGGATTACTATGGGGCACCCTCTCCTGGACAGTATTTATATCTACTTCCTTTGGCCATGAATCTATGTGGACACTATACCAAGGAACAGCTGCTGCTTGTATCATGTGAAGACAAAAGATTAGAAAAGCTGTTCACAGGCGAAGGTAAGAAGGGGGCACACGCGAAAACGGTGTGGGATGGAAGGGGAGGATGTAGATACTTCACAAATAACCGCTTACCAGGAAGTGCTTTAAATCCCACCCCTTCGCTCTCTTCCTGTATCTGTCCCAGGCCAGGCTTCTCTATTAAGGGACTGTCGTGTGGCAGTGGAGACATGCAGGGAGTCATATCTGGAGAATGAAGCAGGAGAACGACCAATGAGAAAAAGCAGCACGTCATCAACAATGTTCAGAAGTGGCGACTCACAGGCTTCTTGCCTCCCACATGACTAAAATAAACCCAGGGGCCGGAGCGATAGAAGAGTGGTAGGGCATTTGCCTTGCATGAGGCCAACCTGGGTCTGATCCCTGGCATCCCATATGGTCCCCTGAGCACTGCCAGGAGTGATTCCTGAGTGCAGGGCCGGGAATAACCCTTGAGCATCTCCAGGTGTGATCCAAAAACACCCAAAAAATAAGATAAAAAAAGAAACAAAACCAGGTATGCCAAGTCCTGTCATATAAAAAGTCTTTCCAGACCAACAGATGTGCCAGCATCTTGGACCGATCAATCAGTGGAAGAGGGATCATAAATAGTTGGATACCATGGCCAAGACACCCTAAATGTCAAGGAACAAAGGGGCAAAATGATACACAGAACAATGTAATCTCTGCTGTTATGGTAGACATATTTGTATTACTGCCTCCAATAAACAACAGGAAAGGAAACCATCCACAGTGCAGCTTCAGTAACATACTGTGGAAGAAATTCCTACCGTCTATTTCCTCAGAACAAAATACTGACTACAGAAATCTGTGTTGCATTCGTTCTGTGCCTGTTAATAATATAAACAAGGTAGACTGAATGACACACTTACCCACAGGGGTATTATGGGGTACTCTCTCCAACTCCTGGACAATGTTTATATCCAACAGCTCGAAGGACAGCAGGTCCTGGGAAAGAGATGAGCAACAATGTTAGATTGTTTGCAGTGCACAAGGGAGCTCTGAGTTATATTTTGCCTTAATGGGACCTGTAAGGTGATTGAGGCGCTCCAGAAGAAAACAAGCAAAGACTGAGATCCCAATGAAAAGGGGAAATATGTGGCTGGAGAGATAGTACAGAAGGTAGGGAGTTTGCCTTGCCCACGGGCGACCCAGATTCAACTCCCAGCATCCCCTATGGTCCCTGAGCTCCTATCAGGAGTGATCCCTGAGCACAGTCAGGAGGAAGCACTGCAGGGTATGGCCCAGAAACCAGACAAACTTAAAAATAGAAAAGCAAGAGATAAAGAGAAAATGTTTAGAAATTTGCTTCCACAGGTCATCATCTTGTTGCTCAATGCATCTAATTAGATCAAAGTAGACTTATCTCTGGGGGCTGGAATATAGCACAATAGGTAGGGCGTTTTGCCTTGCACGACCCAGGTTCGATTCCCAGTGTCCCATATGATCCCCTGAGCACCATCAGGGGTAATTCCTGAGTGCATGAGCCAGGAGTAACCCCTGTGCATCGCTGGGTGTGACCCCCCCAAAAAAAGTAGACTATCTCTAATCTTCTGAGCACCACAGACAGCAATTCCACCTTCCCTTCAACGAGGTAAAATTTCATCCCTAGCATTCTCTGTCCTTAGCTTCACTTAAGGGCTGATTTTTTTTCCTTACCTGGGCAGTTAGAAGGTCAACTGATGGAATGTAGAGTTCTCTCTCTCTCGCAACATTTTTTGTCTTCTGAGGGATACAGGTTCCTGTCCCTTCTGCTTGAGCAGTTGCTTCATCAAGATTATCTTCTTCTTTTTCCAGAAGAAAACCCTCCTGTTAGAGACAAACCATTAAGATAAATTTTAGGCCTAAAGGCAAGCTGACAATTGTGTCCCTAAAAATAGTCTAGGGGATAGGCAGCTGCCTTGCGTGCAGCCAACCAAGGTTCAGTCCCTGACACCCCATATGGTTCCCTGAGTTCTGCCAGGGGTAAATTCTAGGCACTGACCAGTGTGCCCCACCACCCCACCCCCAAAAGAAAAATAATCCAGCCACAGAGATAGTACAGGAGGTAAGGTACTTGCCTTGCACATGGCTAACCTGGGTTTGATTCCAAGCACCCCATCATGTTCCTGAGTGGCCCCCCAAAACCAAAACACACGCACAAAAAAAAAAAAACCACAAAGAAAAAATACAAAACATAAGAAAAAAAACAAAAGGGGCCAGAGTGATAGTACAGTGCAGTGGGTGCTTGCCTTGTATGCCGCCAACACGGGCTCAATTCCTAGCATCTCATATGGTCCCCTGAGCATCGCTAGAAGTAATTCCTTAGTAGGTGTATAAGCTAGGAATAATCCCTGAGCATCACCAGGTGTGGCTCCCAAACAAAAAAATAAACAGAACAAAAATCAACCAAGAAAACCTCCGCCCACTTCCAAAAACCACCAAACCAAAAACATTTCCCAAGCACCTTGAGGGTGGCCAGAGAAACCCACAGTATCAAGAGCCCAAGCAGTACTTGTATCTTCAAAGGCTTCCCGCCTGAGCACTACCTGGGAGGTTTCTCCTCCCCACCAAAACTTAACAAAAAAAGCATTGTTGTATAGCAACATGTCCTTGTTGTTCCAGAGTTTTGAGCTACAGCAGGCTGTGCTCACAGATCATTCCTGGTGGTGCTCAAGGGACCCTACATGGCGCTGGGGATCAAACCCAGTGGGGCCGTGTGCAAGGCAAGTGCCTAAACCTGTGTACCATCTCTCCAACCTTACGTTTATTTTTTTTTTTCTGGTATGGTTTTGGGTTACACTGGTGGTGCTTGGGGGTTACTCTTGGCTCAGTGCTTGGGTGATCATGTGGTACTGGAGATCAAACTGCGATTCTCAAATACATGTTTTGTACTTTAGCCCTTTCAGCCATCTCTTCACTTTTTGGTTTGTTTTTGGGGCCAAATCCAACGAGGCTAAGGGGCTACTCCCAAAGTTCTGTGCTCAGTAGCTGCTCCAAGCAGATCTTGGGGGGACCGGGAGGTACCAGGGTTGAACCTGGGTTTCCAGAATGCAAAGCATGTGCTCAGTCTATTGATCTCTCTCTAGCACTCCCCCCATTTTTACAGGTATATACTTGAAGCTCTTTGTTTTGACATTTTCATATTTATAGAAAAGCTACAACTAAGTTCATTAATTGCATATGTCACCTAATTTCCCCTAGTGAAAACAATTCAGATTTACTGTCTTACCAGTCAAAACCAGGATACGAATGTTAACTAGTTTAGGTGATAAATATTCTTTTTATATTTATTGAATCACTGTGGGAAAAGTTACTAAGCTTTCAGGTTTAAGTCTTGGTCATACAATGATCAAACACCTTTCCCTTCACCAGCACTCATTTTTCACCACCAAGAACCCCAATATACTCCCCCTCCCACCCCTTCCAATGCCTGAGAGGCAGATGATTTCTACTTAACTCTTCTCTACATTGATTACATTCATTATTTCGACAAAAGATACACCATTATTGTTTAGAATCCCCCCCCCAACAATCAAAATTGCTGAAAAGGCATTGTGAAATACTTTGTTTTCTATAGCTGATTATGAGAATCATATAATGTCATATAATGATTTTGGATTTCTGCAAAGAGCCAGATAATTATGAGATTGGTTTCTGTGCATGTGGTGTTATGGCTGTGCCGGAGAGCCGCTGGGGGGGAGGGAGGGGAAAGGAGCAACTGATAAATGTTCTTTAAGAAAATCTACTAACACAGGTAAGCTGCTATAAAAACTGCACCAAGAAATAACTGAGTCCAAGCTTCACTGATAGTTTTTTGGGAGGAGGAGGTGGTTTGACCACATCCACTGGTATTCAGGGCTTATTCTTGGGAGGTACTCAGGGAACCACATGTGGTGCCAGGACTAAACCAAGGTCAGCTGCATGCAAGGAAAGTGCCTTCATCTCTGTACTCTCTGGCTCCATCTAAAAAAACAGACCCAAGAGAGACTCAGGAAAAAACAACACCAAGGCTCCTGAGAATATCAGTTTACTGATAAAAGCTGGGCTGGCCTTTCTTTCTTGTTTTTTGAGGCCACACCCAGTGGTGCTCAGGGATCATCTGGCAGGCTCAGGGAACCTTATGGGGTACCAGGGATTGCATTCAGCCCAGCTGCGTGCAAGGCGGGTTCTAGTCCTCAAAACTAGTTTTTTAAAAAAATATTTCCAGAGGACTTATCACTTCTGAGTAAGCTTTTTTGTTCTGAATCACCCCTGCCAATGCTTACCTCTTGCTGGCAGGTGAGATGATCCACTTTGCCTGAGCTGCCCTTTTCAATATCATCAGGCATCTCTGTGGAAGGGAAGGGATCCACTATGATACTGCACCAGACCCGAGGCCCAAACTGCTGGCCTTTGTGAGAAAGACGCCAATGGGAAGTGTATGTTCCCTCCAAGGTCGGGGCGATAAACTCCACAGATACAACTCCCACATGACCGGCTTTCAGGCAGGGAACCAAAACATCTTTCTTCTCTGTAGAGGCCAACGTTAGGTTTCCCCACATTAACTTGAGCTGGAAAAAAATGACGACGAGAAAACCTGTCAGTTAAGCACGCTACCACTCCCTCTCACTTCATTTTCATATTCTGTAAAAATACCTTTGTGTCTGCACTCCACTTGACATTTCCTGTATTTTTCATCCTCCAGTGTTTGATAAATTTGGTTCCTGGCTGAAGGTGAGTCCCATCAGGCAAATTCTCATCCACAAATGCTGCACTGAGGGTCGGCATAACTGGGGCACAAGGCTGCAAAGGGAGACTAAGGAGAAACGCAGCTATTCAGTCACCTGAAATGCGCGATGGTTCTAGTGAAGAAGTCACATCATTACCCTAGTTCATGCTCATACACCAATTGCTTACTTCTAAATAAGGCAACAAAACCAGTATAAAAATAACTACTGAGGGCCAGAGCGACAGAACAGTGGGTAGGGTGCTTGCCTAGCACATGGCTGCCTGGGTTCAATTGGAGGAACAACATATGGTCCCCTGAGCAACTATCAGGAGAGACCCCTGAGCAGAGCAGGAGTAAGTCCTGAGCACCACTGCATGTGGCCCACAACTCAAAATAAAACCAGTAAACCCAAAAATAATTACAAAGCCCAGGGAAGACAGCTCGGTGGGAGAGGACATTTCTAGGATATGCGAGTCCCAAAATTCAAAAAAGTCTTGGGGCTGGAGAGATCCATCAATAGGCTGAATGCATGAAAAGCATGTTGGTAGCACAGGTTTGATTCCTAGCACCACATGATCCCTTAAATACTACTAGATGTGTGCCCACAGCACACACCCCGCCCCCGTTTCGTTTTTTTTTGCTTTTTGGGTCACACCTGGCGATGCACAGGGATTCCTCCTGGCTCTGCACTCAGGGGACCATATGGGACGCTGGGAATTGAACCTGGGTCGGCCGCGTGCAAGGCAAATGCTCTACCCACTGTGCTATTGCTCCAACCCCCCCGCCATTGTTTTCTTTTTAAGTCTTGGGCCAATGCCAGAATGATACTACAGGGGGTAGGATGCTTGCCTTATTGACAGCTGACCTGAGGGTGATCCCAAGCACTACAATGTGATCTGTGGAGGCCTGCCAGGAGTGATCCCTAAGTGCAGAGCCAGGAGTAAAACCTAAGTATTGCTGGGTGTGCCCCCCCACAAAACAAACAAACAAACAAAATCTCAGGCCAGGAGTGATAAAGTATAGAGAGCATGCCTCATAAGTGAGAGGCTCAAGGGTTGATTCCTGGCACTGGAGAGAAAAAAAAAAAAAGCTAAGATCGGAGAGTGAAAAACCACAAGGCTCTTATGAGGGGCTGTCCATCAATAAGAGAGCAGATGGCTGAAGTTTATCTAACAAGCTGGACTTGAATGTCCACCCTGGCCCCAGCCTTACATCAGAGTGTTAGACTGAAGCAGGCTCTCAGGCCGGCTCAAAGAGGACTTGGGGCTCTGGAGTCCATGAATGGAATTCCACAGGTGAATCTTCCGGTGGAGTTTAAGCTGCTTTTTAAGTTCCTTGACTTCTGCTTTACGCTGTTTCTTCTCAGCTCTCAATTTTTGCTTTTCTGCCTTAAGAAAGTTCTTGTCAACTTGTTTCTGGAGCCTGTGAGAGTGTTAAAACAATTAAAATAAAATCCAAGTGTTAAAACAATTTAGCTCGCAAATAAATCTTACCAAGTTTTGACACACTTATAGCTTCCATCCATCTTGGCTTCGAGTTTGTCTCTCTTTAGCTCTCCCATTTCATTAACTGAATAACCACTGCCCCCCGACTCCCTCCACCTTTCACTGTACAGCAATCAACTGGAAGGGAGAAGAACTACAGAAGCTGTCTGTAGTTTTGTGATTCACACTCTGCTACCGGAACCAAGAAACCAACTGGATGAGATAGTTTCACCTGGCTTGTTCCAGAGCAGCAGGCAAACGAGGAGTAGAGAACTTTGAGGAAGAGAAGAGTTCAGATGAACCTGCTACAGGTCTCCGCAACTTCAGCAGGACATGGTTAGTGTCATGGGCGTATGGGCCTGATTCACAATCTTCACAGATATTGTAGGATGGGCACAGACTGACGGGAAAAGCAGAGAGCAATGGGAAGTACTGAGAGAGAGGAATATGAGACTTCCGTATTTTTTCTATTATCAGGCAAGGTGACAACCTGAGTACACCACATGACCATACAGGTCTCAATTTTCTGCATTAATAAAATGAGGGTAAGACTTAACATATATCGATGTTGAAGGACAATCAACAATACAAAGTCTGCTAGAAAAGTATTTGCGGGGGGGGGGGGGGGGGAGGGGGGTAGAGTGACAGTACAGTGGATAAGGCATTTGCCTTGCAGGCAGTCAAGCCAAGCTTGATCCCCTGCATGACCCCCGCCCCCCCCACCGGGTGCTGGGAGGATGATCCCTGTGCACAACGCCAGGAGCAAGCCTTGACTGAGCATAAAACAAAAACATCTGGATCAGGGAGGCAATCCTTGGTGATCTCGTTTTGGTTTTGGTTTAGGGAATGTAATTTTTGTCTAAGTCTGTTAACCCAAATGCATATCTTGTTTGAACAAAACAGTCTCAATCCTTATCCTTATCCCTTAACTTTCCTCACATGGGTGAAGAGTAGCCTGCTTGTAATCAAGAACTGCTATATCTAGCGCTCAGAGCTAGGGCACACCTGATTTCCCTTTACCTGGCAGAATGCCAAGGAGGACACTGCTTTAAGGTCTATCAAAAGCCTTTTATACCTGAGGAACTTGCTTACCTGCACTGGTAGCGCACCCCAACGATCCCTGTTTGGCAGTTACTGCAAATAATATGCCACTGGAACTGATTTTCCGGCAAAAAAAGTGCTTCTTCTGACCCAGGTATTGAGACTTCTGACGGACAGGAACCCGATGATGGGTTTTGGAGGACCAGCTTCTCATGTAATTTCTGTTCAAGTTTCTCAACCGTTTCTTTAACAACCTGCTCTCTAAACTAGAATACAAAGTAAAAGCGGGTGAAAGGGGGAGGGAAATACTCAGATCTACTTATCAGGAAAACAGGCATGAAGATATTCAAAGGCTACCAAACAAACGAACAGAAATAGCCAAATTCCCATCAAAACTACATTGATGCGGACCACGAAATCCTTTTGATGAGTGAAATTTAAACTTCTTTCTTCTTAAGCATAATGATCTGTCCCTTTCCTTCCATCTTAAGAATTATACTTTCTCTGCCGGAGGGGAAAGGGTGTTGCCCCATTCGCCCTCTCCTCTCTGGAAAGAAAGATGGCGGCCACATGGGAGCCTTGTGGACAGCAGGTATGAGCCGGGAGTGTGGGGGCGACTAAAACCTCATGGGAAGGGGGGCGTTTCGCTCCGCCCTTCACGCCCTACCGAGGCCACCAGTTGCCCCCCACGAGCGGCTCTCCAGCACGGCCACGACTCCAGAACACAGAAACCAATTTCTTAACTATCTGACTTTCAGTAGAAATACTTCCAGGGTCAATAGGTAAAATAGCAGAAATCCAAAACCAACATTTAATTCTTGAACCCAGCTGTAGAAAGCAAATCACTTCACAATGCTTTTTCAGCATGTCTGATTTGGGGGGGGGGGGGGTAAACTCTAAATAATAGTGGTGAATCTTTTATTGAAACAATCTAATCAAAGCGGATAGAGTGTTAACTAGAATTCATCTGCCTCACAGGGACGGGGAGGGGTGGGGGGTGGGGTTTTATTGGGGTTCTTCATGGGAAAAAATGAGTATTTGTAAAGGGAAATGTGTTTGATATTTGCATGACTGAGACATAAACCTGAAAGCTTTGTAACCTTTCCCACAGTGATTCAATAAATAAAAAAAAAAAAAAAAAAAAAAAAAAAAAAAAAAGAATTATACTTTCTCTTTTACAGGTATCTCATTGCAAAAGTTAGGGCTTTTGTGCCTAGAACTGCTCTAGTTGTAAATTATTAGTTCCCTTTCTTTAGTCACCTGCACCAGCAGTCATCTGGGTTTGGTATTCTATTTCTTCCACGTTTACCAACATTAATGCTAAAACTCAAGTAAAAGGAAACACTTACTGTCTCCAGATAGCTTGTGAACCAGTCGGGAGGCTTGCTGTGGGGCTGGTCTGCATCACAGGGAGCAGGTGGTAACTGCCATGAGAAAATAAATCAGAGACCCTGACGGTTACTTTTTTTTTTTTTTTAAGAACAGGAATAATGTTAATTTAGCTTTTTGGGTCACACCCGGTGATGCTCAAGGGTTACTCCTGGCTCTGGAATTACACCTGGCAGTGCACAGGGGACCATATGGGATGCCAGGGACCGAACCCGGGTCAGCTGCATGCAAGGTAAACACCCTACCCACTGTCCTATCACTCCAGCCCCAAGGTTACTTATTCTATTTAAAATATTTTCCTAGGGCCAGAGAGATAGTTCAGTGGCTAAGGTGCTAGTTCTTACATGCAGACGACTCGGGTTTGATTCCAGCATTCCATATTGCCCCCTGAACCCACCAGGAGTGATTCCTGAGTGCAGAGACAAGAGTAAACCCTGGGTACCGCCAGGTATGCCCTACTCTCCAAAACTTATTTTCCTGAAGTGCATTACTTTGAGGTTTCTTTTGTCAAATAATATAAATAACTTTTAAAAATATACTGTCACCGTCCTCCCATTGTTCATCGATTTTCTCGAGCGGGCCCAGTAACATCTCCATTGGAGACTTTGTTGTTACTGTGTTTGGCATATCGAATACATCACGGGTAGCTTGCCAGGCTCCTCTGTGTGGACGAGATACTCTCGATAGCTTGCCGGGCTCTCCGAGAGGGGCGGAGGAATCGAACTCAGGTCAGCCATGTTGGCTGCATGCAAGGCAAATGCCCTACCGCTGTGCTATCGCTCCAGCCCTTTTTTTTTTAAAAAATAGCTTAAATAAAAATAGCTTAAGTATAGAGAGGTAAAGGAAAACAAAGTCTATCACCCGACTTGCTCCCTCTTTCCAGAATAACCACTAGTTTCCAAAGTAAAACACAGGCTCCCTCTTCAAGCTCCCTCTCCCTTGAACATGTATCTTGCTTGCTTGTCTGCTTCCCAGCCTGCCTATTTCCACTCTGGAGATAACTGTGTTTTTTCTCAAACATGTACTTCTTCCTTTCTCACCCTTTACATCTTTCAAGTAAGTTTCAAAACTTTTTTGCTTCACTAGCATGTAGCACTGTCCTCCCGTTGTTCATCAATTTGCCAAAGCAGGCACCGGTAATGACTCCACTGTGAGACTTGTTACTGTTTTTGGCATATTGAATATGCCACGGGGAGCTTGCCAGGCTCTGCCATGCGGGCGGGATACTCTAAGTATCTTGCTAGGCTGGAGTGATAGCACAGCAGGTAGGCCGTTTGCCTTGCATGTGGCCGACATGGGTTCGATTCCTCCGTTTCTTTCGGAGAGCCTGGCAAGCTACCGAGAGTATCCTGCCAGCACGGCAGAGCCTGGCAAGCTTTCCCCGTGGCGTATTCGATATGCCAAAAAAACAGTAACAAGTCTCACAATGGAGATGTTACTGGTGCCCGTGTGAGCAAATCGATGAACAACAGGAGGACAGTGTTACAGTGCTACATTCTTTGCTTCACTAAAAAGAAAAAAAAAAAAGTCAAACATAGAGAGGACTAAAGATAGTACAGTGGGAATAGCGTTTCCCTTGCATGCAGCCAACGCAGGAGTGATCCCTGGCACCCTAATAGTCCCCTGGCACTAGAGGAGTCATTCCTGAGTGCAGAGCCTGGAGAAAGGTCTGAGTACTGGCAGGTATAACCCCAAAACAGAGTAAAAGTCAAACACAGAGGTCACGATAACTCCAAATCTTTGATGAACAGCTTAAACCTTAGGCCAAATACACATAAAATTTTGGGGCTGGAGCAATAGCACAGCGGGTAGGGCGTTTGCCTTGCATGCGGCTGACCTGGGTTCGATTCCCAGCATCCCATATGGTCCCCTGAGCACCGCCAGGAGTCATTCCTGTGTGAAGAGCCAGGAGTAACCCCTATGCATTGCCGGGTGTGACCCAAAAAGCAAAAAAAAAAAAAAAAAAACCCACATAAAATTTTAAAAATTGGGCCTGGGGGATGGGGGGGGGGAGGGATACTGGGATCAGTGGTGGTGGAGAATGGGCACTGGTGGAGGGATGGGTACTTGATCATTGTATAACTGAAACCCAAGCACAAAAATTTGTAAGTCTACAACTGTACCTCATGGTGTTTCACTAATAAAAATTAAAAAAAAAAATTGGAATGGCACAGGGACTGAGAGAGCCTGCCATGTAAGCATATATATGGTCACAAGTTCAAATCCCTGGTGATCCTTGGTGCTACAAGGGATTTCTGGTTGTTAGATGTGGGTGAGAATCACACAAAGGGGTATCCCTTCTGGCAAGCACCACAACTAAAATGTTCAAGGACCAGGGCTAGGAAGTGTGCACCTCTGATGATTATATGCACAAGCATGGCAACCTAATGTATTATCGCTGGGGAGCACCACAGCAAGGTGTGTGTGCCACTCCTAGTCATCAATGCAACAACAACAAAGAGAAGGGGGGAAAGAAGGAATAAAAAACAAATAAAATTGGGTTGGGGGGGCCTGCAGGCCTAGAACACAGGGCAGGGAGTTTGCTTTGTACATGGTCACACCGAATTAAATCCCAGGACTCCATATGGTCCCCTAAGCACTGCCAGGAGTGACTCCAGAGGGTGAAGGTGAGGGTCAATCATGAGTAAGCCCTAAATTCTGCTGGATGTGACCCAAAAACAAAAAAGCCAACAAAAGTCTGAGAGACAGTTCAGGGTATTAATAATCCCTCCCACTGACAGGCTAAATCCCAGGGTGACCCCTGCGGGCAGAGACAGAAGTAATCCTGGGACATCTTTAGGTAGGGCCCACACACCTACCCATACCCCTTCACACCCATCCTCACTCCCCACCCTCCAAGGAAAAAGAAAAATTGCAGATAGGTTTTCTATTCCCTTCATACCTGTTCTGCAGGGCCCTCTGGGTTCTTCATGTCTGGTCCCAAGACTCTCACTAGTGAAGAATAATGGGCAAGTGGCTTCTTTCCTGTTCTTGAAACTGGTCGTTTTTCTATTGTAACTGGGGGTAGGGTGTCATCAATAACATGGTAGCCTTCATGGACTTGCATCTGCAGCTGGTTTCCGTGTTTGACTGCCATCTGAGAGCAAACGTTAGGATATAAAATCAGGCTGTGCTTCTCCTTTCCTAAGCAAATTTCACACACTTAAACAGAACAGTGGTTAGACTCGGGAAATGGCTCAAAGGGCTGGAGGATCGAGTCTGGGTTGATTCGCAGCACTGCATGGTCACGGGAGCACTTCAGGGGAGCAATTCTGTAGCTGAGCACTCGCTGAAATAGCCCTGTCCCCAGCATGAATGAGTACGGTCCTAAAACCAAAAACCAGGCTGATAATGAGCCTGGGCTCATAAGCTTTGATTCCAGATGTGTTATCTCCTAACCACTACCAGGAGCAACCTTGAGGGAAAGCTGGGAGCAGTGTCAGGTGTGACCCCCAAACCAAAAACAACCCCCAATCATATACACATACAAACCAAGCAATCAAATTAAAACAAGCAAACCCAGAATGACAACTATGCTGGAAAAGATCAGGACTTGTGTTTTGTTTTATTAAGTAATTCTTTGGCAATAATGTTACCGAGGAATGCTATTACTGCACAGCAGGTTTCTAATATAGTCAATTGTTAGGTGAGATGTTTCCATGAACTGGGTTACTATTTTGTTGTTGTTTGGGCCACACAAAGCTGTGTTCAGTGAATACACAAGGCCCTCTGGTCACAGATCACTTTTGGTGGTACCCTGGGGAATCACATGTGGTGCTAGGGATCAAACCAGAACTGACTGTATTACCAGCCAAGTACCTTAACCTCTTACTATCTCTTCTGTACCTATACATAATATACATAAATGAGTACATAAAAAATTGGGGCCGGAGCGACAGCACAGTGTGTAGGGTGTTTACCTTACACACAGCCAATCTGGGTCTGATTCCTGGCACCACACACGGTCCTGAAAACCGCCAGGAGTGATCCGAAGTGAGGAGCCTAGGAGTAAGCCCTGAGCACTGCCGGGTGTGGCCCCCAAATAAGCAAAAATAATATACACTGTTTGACATAAAATTATTTAATGAAAATGAACATGCACGTTTACTTAAGAGTCAGAAATACCTGGAGGAGAAAAATGAGCAAAAGATCCTAATAGAGAGCAAACTAATTTGGAGTGATTATGGAAGGCCAGTGAGGTTGGTTAAGTTATAAGCAAATGGAGTATGGAACAGGATGTAATATGGAAGGGGTAAATAAAATCATATTCTGATAATCCTTACACATTATTATAAAGGATTTGAGAATGCCAGTACGGTGAAAAAAAAAAAAACTATTATTAGAACTGCAAGAACTTTTTTCTTTTTGGTTTTGGGGCCATACCTGACAATGCTCAGGGATCATTCCCAGTGTGCTCGAGGGACCATATGGGATGCTGGGGATCAAACCTGGGTTGGCAGCATGCAAGGCAAGCGCCCTACCTGCTGTACTATCGTATCAGTCCCAATTTAAATTTTTTTTTTTTTTGCTTTTTGGGTCACACCCAGTGATACACAGGGATTATTCCTGGCTCTGCACTCAGGAGTTACTCCAGGCGGTGCTCATTCCATGTGGGATGCTGGGAACCGGGATTAGCCACGTGCAAGGAAAACACCCTACCCGCTGTGCTATCGCTCTAGCCACCTTCAATTTAAAAACCCCTGTACTATGTCTCCAGTCAAAATCTGCCTTTCTTTAGACCAAAAGTGATTATGGTGGCCAAGAGACAGCGCGAAGGTTACGGCATTTGGCTCCATGAACTCAGCCAATCCCAGTTCAATCCACATGTATGATCCAGCAGAAGTCCCTCTTGGTCACAGAGAGAGGTGGCTCCAACTTCCGCACCCACCCTATCCCAATAAAAGAAAAATGAAAAAAAAAAGTATTCAAAAGTATTATGGAAATATCGTTCAGTATTAGGCTAGAGGTACATTAACAAGTCAACCTTTGAGTAGTCAAACAAGTGGGTATACCTAAAGAAGCAATCTCAAGAAATGCTCTTTCACTAAGAGTGTAACTAAAATGCCTGTATCTTCCGTTCCCTAACCCTCCTATATAATGTTCCATGGGGAACAGGTGAAGGAAGAGGATGAAAACGTGAACCAAGAAGCATCATTCCAGAGATTTCCCCTCTACCCACCACTGCCAGTTTTAAATGCCAGGAAAAGTAACAATACCCTGCATAAGATAAATACTAACTTTAAAATTCTTAAAAAATGAGGTAAAATAACCATTACCTTCAGTGCTTCTTCATATTCTCCTGAAAGGACAAAAAAATACATACTGTGATACTTTTTCACCAGCCAAGAGATTGTACTTACAGTCAATCCTACTTTTTTGGCTTATGGGCCATACCTGGAAGTTCTCAGGCTTACCCCTGGCTCTGTGCAAGGACCACTTCTGGTGGTGCTTGGGGACTATATGCGGTGTCAAGAATTGAAACGTGGTTGGACAAGTGGAGGCAGTAAGTAACTTAACTCCTATACTGCCTCTCTTCCCTTAATTCTAACATGTAAGATATTCCTAGTTTACAATCTGTACATGTTTGTTTCTGCATCCAGCAGTACTCAGGTCTAGGTTAAGTGTCAGGCTAGCTGTCTCCAGCTCTCCAGAAATCCTGTGTGTAAACAGCTACTACTTTTCTGCTCTTAAATTCTCATATTTTCTTTTTCTCTCTTACTTAGGGCTTACTCTTGGTTTTGTGCTCAGGGATCACTCCTGGCAAAGATCAGGGATCAGACAGGATGCCCGGGACTAAATCCTGGGTTGTTTGTGTGCAAAGCAAATGCCCTACCAACTGTAGTATCACTCAGGCCCTGTTCTCATTTTTTTGTTAAATGGAAACTATTACAACTCAGTTTTTCCTCTTATGTCCCTTTTCTCTTAGCTACTGGAATGGTGGGTGAAATTATGAAACACCAACTCTGTTCCCTCATAATAGGCTTAGTAGAAGTTCATAAATCTTGAAGGTGGTTTAAGAATAGTGCTAATATTGTTCTTCACAGCTGGTTAAAATCAGCTTTTGGGGACTAATATAATACTATTCTGGGGTGGGGATGTAGTTCAGCGGTAAAGCACTTGTCTTACATGTGTGAAGTCCTGGATTTTAGTCTCAGCATCACAAAAACAAAGTAAAACATAAATACAACAAGGTTTCTGTGGGAAAATGTTCCAATCTCAAGACAACTAAAACTTCTTACAAATGAGATCTTGGAATTTCATTTAAAGTTGCTATAACGGGGCTGGAGCAATAGCACAGTTGGTAGGGTGTTTGCCTTACAAGCAGCCGACCCGGGTTCAACTCCCAGCATCCCATATGGTCCCCTGAGCACCGCCAGGGGTGATTCCTGAGTGCAGGGCCAGAAGTAACCCCTATGCATAGCTGGGTGTGACCCAAAAAGCAAAAAAAAAAAAAAAAAGTTGCTATAATGTATCAACTCAGGGGACAAACGTATCATCAAGAGAGTAAGTTGTATGTCTTAAATTTAGAGCCATTTTATTTGCAGATTAGCATCCTACGTAGAAAAAAACCTCCCATGAAAGTTATTTTTTTTGATCCATCCAGGTACCATCCTAAATAATTGCTATATAAATAATTGCTAAATAAAACTGCTATGTCACTAATGCCACTAATGTTAATAACAACATCAAATTATTGTACATCAAATTCTATTACTCCAAAATGAACACAGTAGCAAGGCTGGAATGCAACTGGAAAGGTACATACCCACTAGCAGCTTAAAGCTTACTCTGGCTCTGTACTCAGGAATTACTCCTGGAGGCGATTGGGGGACCATATAGGATACTGGGGATCGAACTTCAGATTGACCATGTGCAAGCCAAACACCTTACCTGCTGTACTGTCATTCCAGCCCCAGCTTAAGGTTTTTAAGTAAAACTGAGTAGGGCCTGGGGGAATGGCTCAGAGGGTTGAATGCATGCTCTTTATGTGGAGGGTTAGATCACTGACACTATATGATTCTCCAAGTACCATGCCTTGACACTGCTTGGTGTGGCCCAAAACTTTGCAGATTTTCTCAGGGACTCACCTTGACTGTTGATGGAAACCTGCGAAAGGGGGAAAAAAATAGTGAAGATAAATTTCTCATCAATTGAACATATTCATTACTAGGATCAGTCTTGTAGAATAGATGCGAAATCAAGACAGGGGTTCAGTTTTTCCTTATCAACTGGCTGTAAATAATTAGGACATTTTTTGTTTTAACTATCATTGTTGGCCATGACATGAAAGCTTTTGTGCTTCTGGGCAGATTTCCTCTCTCTGTGCCTCAGTCACCTCATGGGTTAAATAGATTATCAAGTATCTAATGGAGTATTCTTGGTATAAGGATGCTGCAATTAATAATAAAGATTTGACGTTATTTTTATTACAAACCATAGCTTTGAAAATGTTTCACCAGATTGTCTTCTTCAATGCTTTTAAGAAACGGATGAGGGGCTGGAACAATAGCACAGCAGGTAGGGCGTTTGCCTTGCATGCGGCCAACCGGGGTTCGATTCTCAGCATCCCATATCGTCCCCTGAGCACTGCCAGGGGTAATTCCTGAGTGCAGAGTCAGGAGTAACCCCTGTGCATCGCCAGGTGCGACCCAAAAAAACAATAAATAAATAAATAAGAAACAGATGATCTAAGCTGCAACCACTGAACTTTATAATGTGCCTGTCACAGTGGCAGGTGAGGCGTGAGGATGGGGGCAGATATGGAGTATGTGAACACTGGTGGAGAGAAATTGACACTGGTGGTAGGACCGGTTTGAGATATTATATGCCTCATGCTCAACTATCAATAACTTTATGAATCAAGGTTCTATAAAAAAATAATATATATTTTTTTCCTTTTAGGGAAGGGGGTATTTAGGGTATTTACATCCAGCAATGCCCAGGGGTTCACTCCAGACTATGCACTAAGGAATCACTCTTGGGATAAGGAATGCTTGGGATACAAAACGGGATGCCAGGGATCAAACCCAGGTCGTAATATGTAAGACAAGTGCCCGACTCACGGTGCTATTGCTTTGGCCCCAATTATGGTTCTTTACTTAAATAAGAAATTATTTAAAAAGAAACAGAAATGTAATGTCAGGTTACACTTGCTGACTTAAAACATGTAATTATTAATTACATTTAAAATATCACACAAAAAGATAAATATTATTCTGAGTTTTTTAAATTAAACCTTTTGGGGGTTTGTTGCTTTTTTGGGGGTCACACCCAGCGATGCTCAGGAGTTATTCCTGACTAGCACTTAGAAATCACTACTGGCAGGCTAGGGGGACCATATGGAATGCTGGGGATAGACCCTGGGTCAGCCACATGCAAACCCCTACCCACTGTACTATGACTCTAGCCCCTAGAGTTCATCATTTTTGAGAAATAAATCCCTATTCTGGGAATCTGGCAATAGGTTTCAAAATATACTTTACCTCTTCATTTTCCTCATCCAGGTATTTTATTTGTATAGTGTTCAGATCAAATGAAACTTTTACCTGTAATTAAAATGTATACACTATAGGATCAAGATACCAAAAATGTAGATAGTAATAGAAACCCAGAAGACATGAAAGAATGAGTATATTTTACTACCAAAAATCATAAACATTTATATGGTTAGAAACAAAAAAATCATAAACATTTATATGTTTAAAAACAATACAAGAATACCACATACAAAGTCAAAAGACTGCAATTATATTTGCAACCACTCCTATCGTAAACATATTAAATTACAATAAAATTTTAAAAATATTGCAAGTCACAACAAATCTGAAAACACAAAAAGCATCAGCACGGGGCCAGAGATAGTAGAGCAGGTTGGGCACTTGCCTTGCAAGCAGCTGACCTGGGTTCAATTCCTGGCACCATATATGGTTTCCTGAGCCCCACCAGGAATGATCCCCAAGCAGAGCCAGGAGTAACACTGAACACTATGTGTGGCTTCCCTCCTCCCTGCCCCCCCAAAATTTAAAAACACTGTCTGGTATCTTGGACACTTTGGTGGCAGTGGGGTCTAGTAACTTTGTACACAATAACATACTATAGCCACTTTACCCAAACTATAATTAAAAAAAGATTTGGCTAAGGACATATATGGCTGTTGACTTTTACTTTGTTACATATGGATAGTTTTACTTCCAAAAATAAAAGTTGCTTTTTTTTATACTTTAAAGTAAACATTCCCTCATACAAGGCAAGCTGTCAGTTCTTTCAACTACTAGGTTTTAGGGTAGCTCAGTGACAGGAGGCCTGCCTTGCAGCCTTCAGATCTTGAGTTTAACTTGTGGCTTCGTCCCACGCTCTCTAGAGTAACCCCACAACACAGCTGTTTGGGTTCGCTGGTGGAACAATAAAGGGTGCCATTTCTGGAAAGCACAATCATGTGTGCAAACTCTGGTCATCACAGCAACAAAAGGAATGGAAGGGGAAAATAAAGAAAATTTATAAATACATACTAGAAAAAGATAACTCCCCCCCCAAAATCTGACAAACTCTGGATAACCACTGCGAAGCATCACCTTCACCATCTTTCCTTTTCAGTTACCACCATTATATGTAATTAAGCGGCATTTTTACCAAAGAATTTCTCTAGATAAACACTGGAAGAAGTAAAACATTTACTGATGATAATCAAACAAATCCAGAAGAGTACAAAGGGCAAACCAAGAGGTGGACAAGTATTAACAACAAAAAAAGTAACTTGAGGGTGAGTTGCTTTCTAAGCATCTACAGTAATAATTTACTGCTCAACTCAGCTTCTCACCTCTAATGCTAGGGCAATAAAATGACTTCCCCCCTCAAAACTCTAATTTTGTAGTTGTTCACAAATTACACCGAGGCAACAGCTCTTAAAAGAGCGGACTGATTGACTGGATCCATACCAACTCATTGCTCAATACTGTTTACAAGATTTAATAAGCTTTCTAATTCCTATCTCACTTAAAATTTCTCCCTCTCAATTCTTCAAAAAGGAATTAATTGGTACCCTTTCTTAGGGCATATCTCCTATTATAAATACTCTACCCTCTGGTCAAACACTTCCAAATGACCCAGAAATGGTAAATATGACAAACTGTACAGCTATGAAACCAAAATAACTGTATTTGGAAAATGTATGCCTAAGGAGTAGAAAAACAAAACAAAGTAACACTCACCATAGCTTCAACATCAGCCCAAGTTGTAATTTCTGGGTCAGAAACCAGAAAGCTTTGAGTTTTACTTTTAGAGTAATCACATTTAGAGTAACCAGTGGTTCCATGCTGTGCAGCTAGAGCTGACTGGGCGGGTGAGACACAGTGACCTTTTGTTATATTTAAAGTAACCTGTGGTTCCATGTTGTGGGGCTAAAATAGAAAGGGTAGGTGAGAGAGAAAATATATTAGAAAGGACACCATACACTGTATAAATACTCATTCAATACTAACAAGGGCCTATAAGGGGGGAAGGTGGTGATTGACCCAGGTTCCATCCCATACGGTCCCTGAAGCCTGCCAGGAGTAATTCCTAAGTGTAGAACCAGAAGTAAATCCTGAGCACTGAGTAAACCCAGGATGGCCCGAAACCCAAAATAAATTTTAAAAATGGGCAGGGTTTGGTGGACACAGTACTGAATGAAAAAACGATGCTCTTGCTTTTATAAATATACCATATAGGGGCCGAAACGATAGTACAGGGGATAAGGCGCTTGTCTCGCATGCTGCTATGGTCCCCTGAGCCTGCCAGAGGTGATCCCTGAGCACAGAGCCAGGAGTAAGCTCTGAGCACAGAGCCAGGAGTAAGTCCTGAGCACAACCAGGTGTGGCCCAAAAACCAAAATATTAAAAAAAGCCAAACAAAATATACTGTTTAGAGATTTACAATTTGGCTATATGAAATTTTTTTGTGGGGAAGGTGTCTGGGCTACACCCAGCTGCGCTTCTGGCTCTGTGCTCTGGAATCACTCGTAGCGGAGTCTGGAGAATGTATGTGGTACTGGGAATTAATTGAACTAAGGTCAGGTAAATGCAAGTTAAGCATCATACCCACTGTATGATTCTATGGCCCATACAACATTCTTTCATTATTATATTTATGAATGTGGTGCTGGGGACTGAAGTGAGAGTCTTACATGTCCAAGGCAAACCCTCTCTAGTGCTGAGCTGCAGCCCTTACCACCAAATTCCCCAAGAAGTGCTAGGTACAGAATGCACAGAACAAGCACCCCCAAAACTTATTTTTCTAACTTGAACGGGACAACTCTACAGTTTTCTTGAAAACGCAGCCCTTTCCTACATCGAGTAACTCAGGCGCTCTATTCGGTTAATTAAAAATAAAAATGATTCACAGCACAGAGTCAACAACACTGAAAACAAGAGATCCAAACCTCAATAATCAAGCTTTAAAATGTGCCCGATCTCTGGCAAGGTGGCAGGCTGGGACGGGGGAACCTGCGGGAACTCTGGTGGAGGGAAGGACGCTGGTGGTGGGATTAGTGCTGGAACATAGTTATGTCTAAAGTCCAACTCTGAACAACTTTGTACATCAAGTAATTTTAAAAAATGTTCTAATTTAAAAAAATGTACTGCAAGGGTCAGAGCGATAGTACAGCGGGTAGGGCTTTTGCCTTGCACGTGGCTGACCCGGGTTTGATCCCTGACATCCCACATGGTCCCCTGAGCACCTCCAGGAGTAATTCCTGAGTGCAGAGCCAGGAGTAACCCCTGAGCATAGCTGGGTGTGACCCAAAAACAAAAAGCAAAAACAAACAAACAAACAAAAGCTAAAAATGTAATAAAAATAAAACAAAAACTAGGGGCCAAAACAATAGCCAAGAAACCACAAAGGGTTCTTCTGGGGAACAAACCCAAGACCTCACACACACCAGGCAGGCAACTGTTCTAGTGCTAAGCTAGAGCCCTGGTCAGTATCCCCCCCGCCTTTTACAGAGAATTTCAAACATATAGCACTGTAGCACTGTCCTTCCATTGTTTATTGATTTGCTTGAGTAGGCACCAGAAACGTCTCACAACAAATTGTGAGACTCATTACTGTTTTTGGCATATCAAATACGTCACGGGTAGCTTGCCAGGCTTTGCAGTGCGGGCGAGATACTCTCAGTAGCTTGCTGGGCTCTGAGAGGGGTGGGAATTGAACCTCGGTTGGCTGCGTGCAAGGCAAACACCCTACCCGCTGTGCTATGGCTCCAGCCCTTCAAACATATAGACAAATTGAAAGTAATGGGTACCAGAATGTAACAATCAACTCAAGATAAATTTCATTTAATCCATACCTCTGCAACTCCCATAAGGAGAGTAACTGTGGTTACTGTTTTAATTGAAAGATTTGGAGAAAAGTTAAACCCATAGCTAAGAATATAACGAACCCCTACAGTTCCCATAGTTATCAATTCATGACATTTTTGTTAGAGAAAAATTTGTCCTCTACTAGATTATTTGAAAAACAATCATCATTTTATCCTTAAAAATGGGGCTGGAGTGATAGCATAGCTGGTAGGGCGTTTGCCCTGTACGCAGCTGACCCGGGTTCAATTCCCAGCATCCCATGTGGTCCCCTGAGCACCACCAAGAGTAACTCCTGAGTGCAGAGCCAGGAGTAACCCCAGTGCATCGCCAGGTGTGACCTCCCCCACCCCCTCCAAAAAAAAAAAAAAACCCTCTAAGTGGGTCTGGAGCTATAGTACAGTGGGTAGGAATCTCCAACATCCCATAGTCTCCAGAGCACCATCAGGAGTAATTCCTGAGTGCAGAGCCAGGAGTAACCCTGTGCATCGCTGGGTGTGACCAAAAAAGCAAAACCTCTAAGAGTATCTCTAAAAGATAAGGACTTATGATTAAGTGAACAAATCCTTTCCCCCCATCTATTCTAATTTTTTTTTCCTTTTCCTTTTTTGGACCACACCTAGGGGATTGAACCCAGGTTGGTCACATGCAAGGCAAGTGACCTACCCATTGTACACTCAGACCCTAAATAAGGATTTTATCTATTGATGAATTCCTAGGTTGGTCATGAGTTTATGAAAAGTTCACTTAAAGAGAAACATAAGAGGCTAGGGGACTGGAGATAGTACAGCAGGTAGGGTGCTTGCGTTTACATGCGACTGACATGGGTTGGATCTCCAGTACTCCAAATGGTGTCCCAAAGTAGCATTGCGCGGTAGCACTGTCCTCCCATTGTTCATGGATTTGTTCGAGCAGGCAGCAGTAACATCTCCCATTGTGAGACTTGTTACTATTTTTGGCATATCAAGTATGCCATGGGGAGCTTGCCAGGCTCTGCGATGTGGGCATGAGTCGTGATACTCTCGGGCGTGATACTCTCAGTAGCCCCAAAGTAGTCAGGGATAATCCCCGAGTCCTGCTAGGTGTGGCTCAAAAGCCATAAACAAACAAACAAACAAAAACAGAAAGAAAAAGAGGCTAGAGAGATAGCATAGGGGTTAAGTTCTTGCCCTGCATGCAACTGACCCTGGTTTGATCCTTGGCACTGCATGATTTCCCGGCATCACCAGAAGTGATCCCTGAGCAGGGCTAGGATTAGGCCCTGAACATTTTTTTTAAGTAAAAACATATTTTATTTGGGGGTTTTTAGGAAAGGGAAGGAGGAAGAGAGTCATGCACTCAAGAGTGGGGGAGGGGAAGGCGAGGGTTGAAGTGATAGCACAGCAGGTAGGTAGGGTGTTTGCCTTGCACGCGGCTGACCCAGGTTTGATTCCCAGCATCCCATATGGTCCCCTGAGCACTGCCAGGTGTAATTCCTGTGCATCACCGGGTGTGACCCAAAAAAGCAAAAACAAAATGAGAGAGAGAGAGAGAGCGAGCGAGCACGAGCAAGGGCTTCTCCAGAGATGGAGAGAGCCCCTACACATATCCCAGCATTAGATAATTAAAGTACGTATCTCAAGAGGGGAGATGGAGGCGTCACAAGAGCTTGAGAATGTAGGCTGAACATTTGTTATTTGGGGCACTCCACCCCAAAGAACAAATAGAAATTTAAGTTGTTTAAAAAAAAAAGCCCACCTCATCCTTATTTACCAGGCTGTTCCAGACCTGCCAGTACTTATGGAGGCCTGGTGGCTCACAGGCCCACCAAGGTCATTCCAGGCTATCCTAGGGACTGGAACATACAGTACAGATACCAAATCCAGTGCTTTTTTTTCTTTCTTTTTGGGTCACACCCAGTGATGCATAGGGGTCACTCCTGGCTCTGTCTGCACCTAGGAATTACTCCTGGCAGTGCTTGGGGGAACCGTATGGGATGCTGGGAACCAAACCCGGGCTTGGCCATATGCAAGGCAAATTCCCTACCCACTGTGCTATCACTCCAGTTCCAAACCCAGTGCTTTATGCGGTCTAACATTTGAGCCATAAGCCCCGGCCCCAAAACGTTCAGTCTTTAAGACATCATTAACAAATCTTTTAAGAAGCATCTGGAAAAATATTGTGGGGCCAGGGATAGTTCAATTGGTAGAGTTTCCCGCTTTGCTGGACACTGAGTGTGACCCCACCAGGGCCACAATAGAGTGTGCAGTCACGGGTGCACTGCGGTCAGGTGTGCAGGAAAACCACAAAGCATGCAAGTACCACATCCAAGAACATGACCCACTCATCACAACCATGACAACAAAGTTCAAAATAAAAACAAAAGTCATACTCCATTCCAGACATAGGAGAGGAATGAATGAGATGTTCTCCTAGAAACTTATAACTGGTGAGGGAGGACAGAAGTTGAGAAGAGTTAAGATTCCACACGTAGCTCTGGCAAATTACTAGTCACACAAGTCTGAGGCAGTCATTTAACCTGAGTGTCTAACATAGGTAAATGGACCTAGTACCCCTGCTTAACCTATTTTACAATGTCATCTAAAGATCAAATAAAACTGTGCTTGCACCTTAAAAAGTACCTCAAGTATAAAAAAAATTTATTACAATTACTAAATCTTGGAGTTGAAGAGATAGTACAGTGGATGTGGCAACTTGCCTTGCAGCAAAAGTAGATTTGATCTCCAGCACCACATATGGTGATCCCCCAGTACCCAGGAGTATGCCCTGAGGACTGCCAGTGTGGCCCCTAAAATAACCCCTCCCCCAAAAGAAAATCATTCATTACAATAAAAAAGTTTTCCACTGTATGTATATTCACCACTTAGTGATATAACTGTCATCAAAATTATCCTCCAGGCTGGAGTATATCAAGCAATGGAAGCGTATATTTATTTGATTTTTGGGTCATACCGGTGGTGCTCTGGGCTTACTTCTGGCTCTGCACTAGGTGATTACTCTTGGTGGGCTTGGGGGACCACATGGGATGCTGGGGATCACACCCAGGTCAGCCGTATGCACCCTACCCGCTGTACTATTGCTCTGGCCCCCTAGAATATACATTTTGCAGCAGGAAGCCTGAGTTGGTTTCCTTGTCCCACATGGTCCTGGGCATTGCCATGAGTGATGCCCCCACTTCTCACCCCTACCCCCATTCCACAGCACTAAATTGGTAATAGCCCTTGAGTACCTCTGGGAAAAAATTATCCTCCAAGATTTTTCCACCTATGGCCAAGTTCATCACCAAAATACGAACAACCTGTATCATCACTACTCCTTGTTATCTAGAATTCATTCACGAGGCATGCAACGATTCTTGGGGTTGTCACATTTTGGACAGATTTCCTTTTAACTCCCTGGAATCTTAGGCAAAAAAGTGAGGGAAATAGAAACTGACTGCCAAAAGTGGAAGTTCTAAATCACAATCTCACTTTTCAACTTCGGAGAAACTATTTTCACACTTCTGAGTCCAGAAGAAAACTAATCTTTCCCTCCTCTCAAGTAACACAATTGGAAATTAGTTTAGATACTCCGGAGTTCATCCAGCTCAGCCAGAAGAGCAGCAAACAGGAAGTGGGGGAATTCGAGCAAGCTGGACCATATCCAGGTCTTCATAAAGAACTGCGTTTCGCTGGCTGCCATGTGAAAATTCTTTCAGGGAGCGCACTAAACTAGAACTTGTGGAAAATACTAAAGCTTAAGTTAACTCCATCTGTCCCTGTGGTTTTAAAAACGGTTACAATGTCAAGGCTTGAAAGCCTTCAAGCTTTCGTAACTGGCTTTCTTCCGTGCCACTGACCTTTAACTGGGCACAAATTAGCTTTTTCTCTTTTCCTGTATGTTGATTTTTTTTTTCAGGATACCATAAACGGAAGCAGACAGGAACCCGAATTTTGATTCCAGTCTCCACCAGAGATCTGTACAAGCTATCCAGGGCTTTCAAAATGTGTGGCTTAGAATGTTTCACAAAAAGTATAAACAATGATTTGCCAGCACAAGAGTTTGCTGATCCCGGAGGTGTTTTTACGGTTCTCGAAAAATAGAAGTGGGGGATGGGGGTGAAGTGAGGCTAATCCTGTCATATTTTGTTCCTTGAAGACTTCGTCTTAGTCGCCCAGTTACCGTTTCCCAGAACTCCCCAAGACAACCACCACCCCAGGACGATAACTCTTGATTTTATTTGCTAAGGCCCTCTTCGTGCTGGGGAATCTCGGCCTTCCATCAGAAGCCCGGAGTTCCGAACCATGGACACATCGCTCCGGCACCTTACAGTCTCTCGGCCTCCTGAAACAAGCGGCTCTCCCATCGGTCGCTGAAACGATCCTCTGCCCCGACTCGAAAAAAGTCACCTTTTTTCTTTGCAGGCCTCCTCCCTAGAGTTTCCCCCCCAAACACCGTCAGTGCGACGTTCCCTCACCTCTAGGTAACCACAGCAATTTCTTACCAGCTTCCCGCCCCCGGGGGGCGCCTGCTTCAAAGGCCAGTGCGAGAACCGTTCGCTGCTACTTCTGCGGCTATCCCCAGCCGGGTGAATCTAACATGGCGGAGAGAGACAGGGTCCAGTCGTCTGTTTCTCTAAGTTTCCGATAACACGATTGGCTCTAATCACATGTCCCTCAAAGCTATCGTACTACTGATTGGTGGAGGATGCGTTGGCGGAGGCGGAGCAGCAGCAGCCTGAACCGCACAACAATAACAAACACAGGGGCGGAGGGGCGGTACTCTGAGTGCGCAGCCGTGGGCCGGGACCGATTTCCTCTTCCCAGGTAAAATTCGGCGCCTCCAGCGTGCCCTTAGGTCAGACACCTTAGAGGAGAACTTGCCTGAGACTCGCGGGAATGGATGGAATTGTAGTCTTCCTAGGACTTGTGGGGTCTTTACTCTCCGCTCTTAAGATAGGAAACCATAACTCTCCAATCCATAACTGTTGACGTGTATAAGAACACGGAGCTCTCTAATCAGTCAAGCGAATCGCCATGAAAATCATGCCAGCTTCCGGTGTCGGAAACGCCTCTCCATAAGCCTACGGTTTCCAAGGAACACTGTGGCGGAGGTCTTCCGAACCGCAAGGCATGCTGGAAGACGTAGTTTTTCTTCCCCCACAATGTTTTTATTTACCTAAACTGTAGGCTTCCATTGAGACGGAAAGGGTGAGGAAACGAGTTATCTTCTTGCTACTGTTTTAGGCACTATCTTGCGCTCATATTCGGGATTCAGATAGCGATTAATGACCCCAGGACGGCAATCACTGTGACGTAATAAGTCGCGACCGAAAGCGGTAGAGGTAAAGGGGCGGTCGCCTGGTAGAAATCTTAGGGCATGTTCTTCCTCTTCCGGCTCTCGGTAATGACGTCACCGGGGACCGTGAATGGGCTGGCCAATCGGAAGCCTCCAGAGACTCCCACTCGTCAGCTCCGCCCTTCCGTAACGTTGTTTTGAGGTAGCTTTCTGAGAGGCTCGCACTCGGCTGCCGCCGGTTTCCGTGGCGACAAGAAAGCGCGGGAATTTCAGAAAAATTGCAACTACGACTGCGCGGCAAAAGCCCGCCGAGGCTTTCCAGACTGAGCGAGCAGGGTCTGAGCGCGCTTGGTAGGTATCTTGGCACCTAGATCGGGGAAACCCAGACGCTTTATTCAGGGTAAAGGCGAGCGAGGACCTGATCTGGGTGGCCGGGGAGAAACAGATTGGGAGAGAGTTGGGGAGAGGGGACTCCTGTTTGGGGAGGACTGGGGGGGTTGATTGAGAAAAGTTGTGGAGGAAGTGGGGTACTCAGGGTAAGGGTATGTCTGAGGGGTTATGCCGTTGATGGGGATCGGAAATGTGTTGAGGGGTACTCCAGAGGAGCTGATGATCTTGAGAATACAGACGGGGTGAATATTTGTCCGGGAAGAGGAGACCGGAGTCTCGTGGGAGGGAATACCCTAGGGATTGAAATCCCAGACCTTTCTGGGAAGGGAAGTGGAGGGGGAGAGATTGCAATCGCAGCTGCTGCTGCTAAGGACGTGCCCGCGGGGGAGAATCCGGAAGTCTCAGGGAGGAGGGGGCGCGCATTCTTTGCAGCTGGTTTTGGTTTGAAGCAGCACGCGACCAAGATAACTGGAAACATCTGTAGCTACTGCTGCTCACCCATACCTCACTCCCACCTGTTTCTTGTCTTTTTTTTGGGGGGGGAGGGGTGGTTGTTTTTGGATCCCTCCTGACTCTGCATTCAGGATTCACTCCTGGCCTGGCTCGGGGGAATCCTATGTCATGCTGTGAATTAAACCAAGATTTGCTGCGTGCAAGACCCTGTACCATCATTCCAGCCCTTGACTTCCCTTTCTAAAAAGACCAGAAGGAAGGGATGGGAGGCTATCTGAAAAAAGAGAATTCGAATGGCCTTAATTTTAAAAGTAAAGTCCAAATTTTAAAAGATTGCTTGCTTTTTTACAAACAAGGTTTTTGTCATTCCACAGTTGATATAATTTAAAAACATTTTTTTGAGGACACATCCAACAAGTGCTCAAGGACTGCTTCCCATTCAGTACTCGGGATAATGCTGGTGAATTCTCTGGGGACCACACTGTTCTGTGCATGGAACCCAGTCCTGCATGCAAAATATATTCAGCTTATTAGGCTCTAGCCCCAATCCCTTGAGTATGTGTTTTTTGGGGGTGTCACACCCAGCCGTGCTCAGCACGTGCTCTTGTGAGGGCTCTGGAGACCATATGGGGTGCCTAGGATAGAACCCATTTCACTGCCTGCAAGGCAAGCGCTTTACCTGCTATACTATCTCTCCAGTCACATTAAAGCATTCCAGTCTTATGTTTCTGTTATTTAAAAACGACAGTTTAAGTGATTCTTTTTTTCATGTCTTCTATATACAAAATTCACTGGGACAGAAAGAAATGGATTTGTCCATGGATCACGTTGAAGAAGTACAAAATATCCTTAATGCTATGCAGAAAATCTTAGAATGTCCTATCTGGTAAGTCAACTAATGCGTTTATTGAGATTCTTTCTTATATAGTATCTCTTATGAGACTGTATAGAATTGATTTTACATAAAATAAAAAGTTCATGTCTATTATGATTAAGCTATTAAAATGTTATCTAATGTGAAACAATATTAAAATTTTGTGCCATGGTTGGCAGCACTCAGGTTACTCCTAGCTCTGCACTCAGGAATCCCTCCTCTTGGGCTGTGGGGGGACCATGTGGGATGCCAGGGATCAAACTCGGGTTGGCTGCTTGCCACATAAACTCCCTACCAGCCATACTAACTTTCGCTGGCTCCTCCACACACACACCCCGTGCACCTTGTTTTTTGTTTTTTTGGGCCACACCCTGCAATGCTCAGGGGTTACTTCTGGCAGTGCTCGAGGTTCCATTTGGGATGTTGGAGATTAAACCTGATGGATTGGCAAGGCAAGAACCCTACCTGCTGTACTGCAGCTCTGGGCCCGCTAGCCCCACCTCCCGCCTTTTATTCCTCCACCCCCACACCCACAGGTGTAGATGTTTATGCCAGTGACTGTTCCTTGCTCTGTGTTCAGGAGTGACCCCTGGCGGTAAGAAGTGGTAGTGGCAGTGCTTTGGAGACCCTATGTGCCAGGGATCAAGCCAGGGTTGATTGCATGCAAGGCAACCTCTTGTTAACCTCTTGTACTATTTCTCCAGTCCATGACTTTCACTTTAAGAAGTAAAATTTGCTTAGATATGTTTCGTGATAGATGGTGGGTTTTGTTTGTTTGCTTGTTTTCGGGGCTACACCCGGTTGTGTTCAGGACTTACTGGTTCAGTACTCCAGAATGGCTTCTGGCAGGGTTTGTGACCATATGGGGGTACCAGGGGTGGAACCTGGGTCCTCTCTGGTCCCAAGCTGTTTTTAACCTAATTGAGTTTTTAGGTTAGGTTACACATATTAAAAGCTCAAAAGCATTCTGCTTTGAAAAGCTTTTAAGGGCCAGAACAATAGTGTAGTGTAGTGGGTAGGGCACTTGCCTTGCATGTGATAGACCCGGGTTTGATCCCCACCTTTGTATATGGTACCCTAAGCCCTACCAGGTGTAATCCCTGAGTGCAGATCCAGGAATAGGCCCTGAACTGGTCAAGTATGGACACACTCCCTCACCCCCCCATACCTGCCACCAAAAAGAAAAAAAGTGTTCTAAGATTTTTTTTTATAATGATTATTCTCATCAGAACCTAGAAAAAGGACATTGAACTTTTCATTACTATTTCCTTTTCAAGTTCTTTAACATTCATTGCATTTTTACATATTGAAGTTTTCAGCTGGTTAAAGTTTGTGTGTATAGTTTGTTTATATGGCTTGGTTTGTAAGTGCTAGAGTGAAATATAACTATTTCAGAATTGAGTCAGTGGTGAGAATGAAAACCATCTGGTATCATAACTAAATCCAGTTTTTCTTTAAGAATTTCTTTGATATCTAACTTAGAGAGTGATTTGGTTATGAAAGAGTGCTCTTTGTTGGGTTGCTTTTCTTTTTAAAATCATATTTGATCCCAATAATAGTAATGTTGGCAAAAGTCATCTTTGGTTAAGAACATTTTCCCAAGGAGCATTTAATAGTGTTTTCTCAGCAAGAGACAGAGAAGGAAACGGGTTCAGGTAGGGTGCCTGGTCTGAGGTCTTTCTGGGAGAATTTAGCCTTCTAACCTGCTTTGATATTTTTCTTTCCATTGTCCTGTGCTGCGTCAGAAACCTCATGATTATAAGATTGTGTTACCAAACCTTTCACAAGGAGTCTATTGTCCCCCAGCTTTATTTGTGACCCTTTTCTGAAAAAGATCCACTTTTTTTTTTGCCACATACAAGTTACCTGGTTTTTGGTGTCTTGCCTGAACTTTACCAAAAAAATAAGGTGTTTTTCCTACAAAAATCAGTTTCTAAAGCACTTAGTCATAATAAAAGATACCTAAAATAGTGTATAGACTGGCAGTGACAGGATGGGTAGGGGGGTGTGATGGGGTAACTATACTTCAAGACCATAAATACCAACACCGTTGTAAATACATTAGCTATAGTACAATAAAAAGTTTTTTTCTTTTAGGTTTCTGACTGCTCAGACTCCCAGCTACCTCCGGTTTCTAGCACTTCTCCCTTGATCCTTCTATCCTTGCGCCCCTCAGGAGCACATTGCAGCCCTCTGCAGGTCCTATGCACAGTCCTATGCAGAGTCTTTTGTTCTCAGCTGCCTCTGCCACAAAGTTCTCCCAGTTGTTGTGGCTCGTTCTTCACATTTGTTCCCTCTGTAACCTTCTTGTGAGACCTTTCCTAACCACCTAGTATACATCCACCCATATACTCAGTATGCTCCTTTCCCCCCTTATTCTGCTTTGATTTTTGTGCAGGAAGATAAGCATACTTAGCTGCTCAGGGATCGCTCTTGACAGGGCTCGGGGGACCATACAGGGTGCAGGGAATTGAACCCAGGTCAGCCATGTGCAAGCAAGCCCTGTACCCACTGTACTATCTCTCTAGTCTCCCTGATTTATTCTTTTATCACCCATTCCTGCATATTTTATTTTCTTCTCTATAAACTGTTACAAATAGAATGTAATTCCTTTTTATCCACTCCTATAATTTGATCTCCAGGAAGAGTGCTTTCATAAAGTAGATGATTGAATACATGTTTGTTCTGTTAGTAAGATAATTGATTGAGGGTAAGGAGATAGCTCAATGGACTGAGCACGTGTTTTGCATGCAGGATGATTCAGTACCAATACTGCATGATGCCCTTGGTACCTGAGCTGCTGGGTTAGGCCCCCGAACTGGGTTTTTATGGTTTTATGTCTAGGTAGGTAGAGATTGGAATTTTGTGATATATTTTCTTTTCTCAACATTTAAAATGTTTTTTTCTGTTTGATTATTTTGCAGATTTCCTTCATTATACTTAAAAAAAAAACCAAAATAGTCATAAACCAAGCATTCTCTATCTCCTGAAGTGTTATAATGCAAGTACACAGTACAACCTGTCAAATATTATTGGTAATAATGGAGCCTGAATTT